GACCATGAAAGAAATCTCAAAGACACCACGTCTGATCCAGTCATTGCCACGATCAACCAGACCCAACGCCAACCCACCAGAACCTATTCCAGATCTCAGCCCAATCACCGTTCAATCAAAAACCACCCATCCGCAAACCGACCCTCATGGTCCTCGCGACCCACATACAACAACCCAAATCGCCCAAACCATAACAATCCATATTGTCACTACTGCAACATCCCTGGACATGAGACAAAAGATTGCCGGAAGCTTGGCYGCTTTTTACGAGACAACAACTATCCAGTTCACGGTCACCTCTCACCCGCTCCTATGGTGAACTACACTTCCGCTCATCCAACTGCTCCCAACCCGACATGGATGTGGGACACCGGAGCGTCTAGCCACACTGCTCCCAATCAGAATTCATTGCCCGTCCTTTCCGAATACGGCGGCCCGGATGAGATTGTCCTGGGTGATGGTAAAACTCTTCCTATTACACACACTGGCAACACCACTATTTCYACAAACTCACGTCCACTTCTATTACATAATGTTCTCCTTGTCCCTCACTTACGCAATCACCTCATTTCTGTTGCAAAAATCTGTCGAACTAACCGTGTTTCCGTTGAATTTTTTCCATATCATTTCTTRGTCAAGGACTTACGCACGGGGGCGCATCTCATGCGGGGAGTGAACGTCAATGATGTTTACTACGGACCAATTCCATCACCCCCTCAAGTCAATGCAACCACAACAGGATCTCTACTCGCGTGGCACCACACTCTTGGACATCCTTCGTTCAAAGTCTTCAAGTCTTTAATTGCTAAATTAGGACTTAATTGTAATRAAGTGTCACATGAGTCCTTTCATTGTAAATCCTGTTCTTTAAATAAAAGCCACAAACTTCCATTTGGCCAAAACTYTTTTGTTGCAAACAAACCTCTAGAACTTATCTATTCGGACGTATGGGGACCGGTACACACTTCCATCGACGGGTTCAAATACTATGTTATATTTGTTGATTTCTATTCCAAATATATATGGTTATACCCTATGAAACGTAAATCTGACGTCTCCATCCTTTTCCCTCAATTTAAATCCTTAGTTGAAAAGTTTTTCAAAACACCTCTACTCTCTTTATTCACCGACAACGGTGGTGAATACATCGGTCTCACACCGTACCTCAACTTACATGGCATTTCCCACTACACAACGCCGCCTCACACACCCGAGTAAAATGGCGTCGCCGAAAGACGTCACCGTCATATCGTTGAAACGGGCCTTGCCCTTCTCCACTATGCACATCTTCCACAAAAATTTTGGTCCCACGCGTTCCAAACCGCTACCTACTTAATAAACCGTCTCCCCACTCCAATCCTTCACAACAAATCCCCTTGTGATATGCTATTTGGTACGCCACCCACCTACTCCAAGCTTAAACCGTTCGGCTGTCTATGCTACCCGTGGCTTCGTCCATACACCACCTCCAAATTACAACTGCGCTCCAAAACGTGCATCTTTCTTGGTTACTCCACGTCTAAATCCGCCTACAAATGTCTTGACCCGGTAACCGAAACATTATATCACTCCAGGCACGTAGAATTTATACCTCACATCTTTCCTGCTCAAACCAAAACCACCCCAGCTTCTCATTCACCTCCCGATTCCTCACCTCTTGCACCAAATATACCCACCCCTATACCCTCATGCACTGAACCCACGCTCATTCCCACCAATAATTCTCATTCACCACCTTCTCTCTCCAAATCACACCTCTCCTCAGCCATTACCTTTAAACCAATTATCATCCCCTATGAGCACACCTACCACTTCACCACCCCCTCTTGACCTTTCTGACCCACCAATAGCGTCCGATCCCACCACCCCTCACACTTCCTCTTCACCCCTTGACAACTCCACACCCTCATCCACTCATCGCCACCCGCAAATCCCCTCCTCTTCCGTCCCTCCCRCACCCTCCRTCTCACCAACACCCTCGGCCCCACCTGCCCATTCCTCCTCGGCCCCTCTCAAACGGAAACCCAAACCAAACCCGAAATACTATAACCCCAACTTCGTCAACTC